TAAATAAACAAGCTTTACATTACCTTTCACAAAATCTTTTACATCAATATTAATCTCACAACACATTGAACTACACCGCAATAGCATATCAAATTCTTTATCTTTATATACACACGCTCTTTCCAACAAAAGGTAACATCATATGATTTTTGTGCATTTTGCATTAACACATATGCGCATGTTCCTGTCTTATGTTTTTTGCTGCCCCAATTTTTATTTCCAAAAATACCAAATCGTTCATATCCTTTGCCACACTCCACATTTACAAGTATATTTTCTTTGAGCAGGGAAATATTGGAAGGTTGATTCATTATAATATAAAATAATAAACATTCCTTCGGAAAATGGTTCCATTTTTAATTTTTTTAGTTTAGGTTCACTTCTATGAAATTGCAAGAGTGCTTTCAATTGTATAACAAAAGAATTTTAAATTGACAAACATCATATAAGGAAGCAGAAGTCAAGGAGTGTGAGTGAGGTATTATTTTATTGTTTGGGTGATCATTACTTTCATGAATAGAGAGTAAATTCTTAGATGAAAAAGTTTTTCGAAATTAGCAGAACAATGTGAACAAACAAATGGCATTATAACGAAGCGCGAGTTAAAATAAGTGAAATTTCTAACTCAGGGGGCGTGATTGCATATTATTTGTAACGGGGGAAATCCTGTTGACCAGTTGCCCATATGTAAACAGAAAGAAGCCACACTGATTAGACTGATTAGCCAAATACGGTCAATAGTATAACCTAAAACTATTTAACATAAATTCATCTTTTTTAATAAATACCGTTGAGAATCAAGAGAATCAAAATTACTTCTTTTACTATGCTTATTAATTTTTGTCGAAGTATTTGCTGTATTACGTCACTACAAGCCACAAAAAGTTTATGCGAGAGTCTATGTCCGATGTATACAGAAAAGTATACCTTCAACAGCTTTCGTTTCTCAAACCTCTTTCTCTAAAACTAAAATAATCTTTTTTATCATTACAGAAATATAATCAAAATAGTAGAATCATACAACATTTTACGTCTAGATAATAATTACGTTTTTCAGGTTGAAGCTTACAAAAATGAAAACGACAATGACAATAAGAAATTCTTCAAAATTAATGATTAGAGAATTCTGTTCGAGGAATTTAAAGTTGGACAACTCGAGAGTCTTATCTCTCGTAGAGGAATGTTTGTTCTGATATACTAAATCTTTGGCAAGTTGACATCGATGAAAGTGCGCTTAATCCTAAATCTAATGAAGCAGATATTGAAAACCTTGGAGGCGTAATTATGAAATGTCAACGCAAGTTTATAAAATATTTTCAATATGGATATGAACCTACGGAGGAAGATAACATCAGCATTGTTGCCATCAACGCAACCACAACCACTGGTAAGTGTCTCCCAATTGTTTACCTCTCGAACAAGAAAATCGCGTTAGCTCACATATATTATCCCTTATTAACTTTAGGAAAAAAAAGAGGATGCGGGACTCAGATAAGGAAATGAAGCCCGAGTTAAAAAGGGAAAACTGACACAATACGAACTGCAAGGAATTTTTCTTTAACATTGGCTTTGCCTTTATTAGAAATAAAAACATCCTAACTTATATCTTTTTAATTGCAGGCAAGATTGAAAGTTTTATTGATAGCTTAGATATGATTGATACAAGTAAAAAAAATTCGAGGTGCCACCATTGCCAGGCGATAATGAGTTCACTACTATATATAATCGACAGTGTTATTCATATTTCCACAAATTTATATTCGGGAATGAAAGCTTCAAGAGATGTTTTATAACTGGAAACCCGGAATCGGAAAGACATATTTTGGTTGATTATTGCTAGTTATGCTCCTTAAGCAAGGAAAGACGGTCCTTGTGGATCATAAAGATTTAACATTATACATAAATCCTATTGAAAAAATGTATTTTAAATTGAATGTTGACGAATACAAACTACTCGCACAAGATTCAAATACGTGGTGTATAATCGACGGGAGAGAACCCCAAATCAGTCACGATTACAATGGCGGAAAGTATATAATGGTATCTTCTCCCCAAAAAGAAATAATTAAAAGTTTTGTTAAAGCACAGAAGTATATAAAAATGTATATGCCAACATGGGAAGAAGATGAGATATTAGAATGTTGCGACCTTCTTGATGCAGATAAAAACATTGTGATGGAAAGTTAAGTTATGCGGCGGAATAGCACAGTGGATCTTTGATAGCACGTTGTCACTAGAAAGAATCAAATCGATTCTTGAGAATGCAATTAATTCAGTTAACATAGATATATTTTACCTTCAAGGTCAATCCCTTTAGGTCACGAATACACTCACAAACTTATCCATTTACAAACCAACACCGAACAGATAGATAAATTTTTATCATACCACTACGTCAACCTGCTTTTTTGCATCAAAACATGTGGCAGATAAATGCTTAGTAAAGTTACAACTAGACCATAAAAAGGAACTATTCGATTTTATCAATAAGGCACAGGACATAACAAAATTGGGAGGTTTACGTGGAACGTTGTTTGAAATGATCGCGCATACGAGAATTCGCCAAGGAGGAAAATTTCAAGTACGTGAACTCACAAAAGAAGGTAATGGATCGGAATACACTCGTAATTTTAAGTTTCTAGAAGAAAAATTTTTGATGATGTTAATGAGATACAGGTAGAAAATTATTTTCGACAAACATCAAAGGTTTTCGAAACCATAGATAGTTATTCTCATTCAAATAAGCTATTTCAAGTCACTGGTTCTAAAAAGCATAGTATGGAGCAATAAGGGTTAAGAGCGATTTATCCAATCTTAGAAGAAGGAGAAGTACGTATTTACTTTGTATTGCCAAAGAATATATTTGCAAATTTCAAAAAAAAAACAGAATTATGAAAATAAGGGGGAGGGAAATGTATTCGTTCCTTGGATTAATGACATTACACAGTATGCATTGTGCGTAAATCTCGAGTATTAATGATTACAAAGTTACAAATTTAAACTATCTTCATCATCATTAGAGTAACTATATATAGTGATAATAAACATTCCGTTATAAATTGCTTGAACGAAAATTTCATATTTGTAGATTTTTGTTATAACATAGTCCTAAATTTCTTCCCAATACTCCTACACCTAATGCTAATTTTTTCGCTATCTATTTTCTGTAATGTTCGAATTAAATTATCCAAATTCCATTTCTATATCTATGTTACAATTTTTTGCAATTATGATTAGTAGATGTATTTTCGGATCTATCGCAAAAATTTCTAAGTAAATACTACCGATCCACTCTTTATACTGTATTTCATTTTATAAGATTCCATTCCGTCTCACATTCAAGAAATTTATTGTGAAGAAATATGACGTGTCACGAAAATCTGATCTGATCATGCACCATAATTTACAATAGAAAATTCATATAAAAACTTAATGCACGAAAAACTCAGGAAAGTTCGAGAATAGATTGCAATTACTTGTTCCCGTGATACATGATGTCGTTATTCATTGGGGAAAATTAACCATATGTACGTTGTCACATTATCACATAGGTGCAACCGTGAAGAATCTTCACGATCAAAAATCACGTGAGGTTTCGGGTCAAATTTCGAAACTAAGCTTCGCTGAACACAACTTTTATCGCAATTTTTTCTTGACAGCAAATTGATCTTCATGTTATCTTAAATAATTGCGCAGCTTTAATTAATTAGAAATTTAATGATTGGCATTAATTAATTTAATGGGCGCCTATGTTGATGCAATACTGATTAATTTGATAAATTTAGCATCAACATTACTTCATTTTTACTCAATAAAACTTCTGCTTATATTTAAAATTGTTTATAAATACATATCATAAATTTGGATCGTTTAGAAGAACGAAAGAATAGTAGCAGAGTAAACATGTTGGTAAAATGATGAAAGGAATTGCATCATTAATAGATTCAGTCAATAGTAAAAAACAAAAAAACCTTATTTTGATGATTGGTAGATCTTCTAGGTTAAAATCAAATTACAGCTGTGAACTATTTATACAGAAAACATAAAGCTTCTACATCAAGAACAACAAGAATAAATAAAATATATTGTGTACATTATCCATGAATTTTTATTCAGCTTCAAAAATGTTATTAAATAACGTATTGAGGATGATTCTTTTATAATAAAGATACTGTTGGTCATTATCTCCCTAATTTTGAACAATTTTACGAATACTTCTAGAATTCGTGCAAGTATCCTGATAACAATTCTAATACATTTTCATCAAAAAATTACGATTATTGAATCTTTAAACTTCTTACATATCCCATCAACATCATCATCATCATCATCTTTTTCTTCTTCATCTTCACAAACAAATAAATCTACTGCTCAGATTGAAACTTTAAAAACACCAAATTCTCCAAATGTATTATTACAAAGATGATGAATTGAATTTATACGTAGCTTCTTTAAAAATTAACACACTGTAGAACGATTAAATCGTAGTTTAAGTTACACGAGATTTACATTATCAAACAATTGAGAATGTCGACATATATACATATAATAGTGTGTTACAAACTTTTGAAAAAATGAGTTTGTGATATGATGTAATATAAAAATTAGTTAACTTTTCATTACAAACGATTTCTTTTACAAATGTTTCAAGATGGATTATTTAGTCTTCGCAAAAGAATACAAAAAAATATTTCCACAAGCCACTCCTGACAATGTTACTAAGGCTTACGAAGCTAGTCAAAAATACGTCAAATTAGGTAAGCTTTGCTGCGTAATCCTTGTTGTTAATATCGAGTTAATATTATGACTTAGCAGATAAATAATCTTCTTCTTGTAGAAAATAAAGAAAATAAGGGGACATCTGACGATTTATATGTATTTGTTGATAACTCAAATTTGTTTAACCAGGCATATAATTCCATTTGTCGACTTGAAAATTTGGCTGAGAACTCTAAACTTTTTCTTGATTATGGAAGGCTGCTGGTTACGGTACGTTTCGCCGAATGGACCTTTCACCGAAAAGAAGTTTCGCCGAATGAACATTTCACCGAAAGGACGCTTCGCCGAAATGACGTTTTGCCGAATCCGTTTTATCGAATGGACACTTCTCCGAATCCGTTTCACCGAAAGGACCTTTCGCCGAAAACGAAAATAATTCGCTGTTGGTTGTTAGCAACTTGCCAGATTTATTGAACTTTTTTTATTATTTCCAACGAAATTATTAAGAAAAAACTTACTTTATAATGTAGAACCTAAAAATGATAAGTTAAACAAATGTTACGCAGTAGTCATTTTCGACGAAATGTCCTTTCGGTGAAACGGATTCGGCGATGTGTCCGTTCGGCAAAAAGGATTCGGCAAAACGTCATTTCGGCAAAAAAACATTTCGGCGAAGTGACCTTTCGGCGAAAACGTCTTTCTGTGAAAATTCAATTTGGCGAAGTGGTCGTTCGGCGAAGAGTCCTTTCGGTGAATTAGCTTCGGCGAAGTGGGTTTCGACGAAACGGATGCGGCGAAACGTCCGGATACCAAGGCTGCTTGAGGTCATTAAAGGTGGGCGTTCACTAGGCCAACCTCCAATTCTCATTGGTTCCAGACCACCACCGCTTGATACGTTGTGGGATCGCATTTATAAAGAAGGGTATAATGTAGTCATTCTTGATCGTAATGTTATAAATCGTGAGAAAGGTGTTGATAACGCACTTGGGCACTATACTGATGAGGTGATGCGCTTGTCTCGGGTGATAGTGATTTTTACTGGAATATTAAGGTAGCCCTGGAACGAAACTGGAATTTAGAAATATGGTCCTGTAGAAGAGGTATTAAATTAATGTTGGTTCTATGCTTAGTTTTATTTCAAATTAAATACGTACTCTTTATATTATTACTAGACGTATCGTTTAATGACAATAATCATTCTCAAGGAGTGTCTCACTATGTATTGACACCAAATCTTAATACTACTTTTATACCTCTTGATAATCTTTACAAGATTTTTGCATGGTGTTATGAAAAAGATAATACTGAAGAAATGAGAGTCCTTAGGATTACTGACGGAGATGCAATCCGTAACTGGAGCAACGATGACGTAATGGAGTGCTTTGTTAATTTAAATTTATTTGGTTGGTGGCATCGTGAATACCCGGGGTTCTTGCTTTTATATTTTCGAAATGAGAATGATAAGCGAAGTGCACAGGCATGGTTGAATAAGAATCACTCTGAAATTTGGATTGGGGAAGTAGTAACCAGAAGACAAAATAGATAATAGAATGAATTTAAGATAGCATTATTAGGGTAAAAAAGAATGCATTATATAGCCGTATTATGTTCTCATGGTAATCTTAACTTGTTGTGCTTATAATTTAGTATATATGATTGTAAAAAATCAATAATATAATATCTTAATAAATTAAATAAATGTGATATGATCCACTGCAGTGCGTATAATATAATAGTTTGTTTTAATAATTAAAACTTTTAAAGTTCCAAAAAAATAAAATGAAAATAAATACGCAATTCCGATTATGAAAATCGTAAATTTAAAGGAGATTGATTATATCCATGTAATTTTATTTTTTTAAAAAAAAAGGCAATAAAAGAGAACTAGAATACCGAGATGGTTTAAGGCATGTGGTCTTTATGGTATCTGTAATTTTTCCGAAGTAATATATAGCCTACCTGATTTTAGCAAAGGAAAAAAAGATGTAGACATTTCACATACAATGTTCATTTCATCGGCAGCTATTGCTGATTGGATCACCATAAACAAGATTTTGATATGTTATCTTCAATCATTAGGCGTTCCATAAAACTAAACTTTTTTAGTTATTAGTTTTTTTTTGGTATACGACATCGAAGAAAATCATCACTTTTTTTTGCTTCAAAGGTATATTCCTCACATATTGATGTTAAGGACAGCCCATTGCTTTAAAATTTGAACATTCCTGACAAAAAGGGACGGCGAATAAGTAATGCCATCAAAGGAAGGGAGTATGATGGGAATGGTAAAAAAGGAAATCGAAATCGAAACAGAAGGGAAAGAAGGAAACGAGAACGGAGAATGACATTAGATGATTTAAATATCATCTTGTATATTTCATTATAAAAATGTTAAATTTTAGTTTCGTTGCAGATCTTTAGTTGCGGAAAAACCTTTTGATTTCGACGGCACCGTCGAAACTTTAATGGTCGAAACTATAATAAATTTATAAAATCGTCGAATGTCGAAACTTTATATAAGAAAACTCGTCGAAAGTCGAAATCGAAAAATAGAATTTCGACTTTAGCTGACGAAGAAGAAGGTTAAGAAATGATAGCTTGATTCTTGGGCATCAGCTGAAGACAGAATTTTGGAAGTTGATAATTAGAAGACGAAGTATTGCACAAATCATGAAGAGAAACGTACAAGGTAGTTGTCATTAATAATTAATGACGCCTTTTAATTTTTTATTATTTTCATTAGTACGAGAAGGCGCCTTAATCATTACAATATATTTATTCGCGGAGAGATATTCTGTTGAATCGGTCCATTAAAAAGAAAATAAGTAGATCGGCCCGATGTTATATACTTGAATTATGACTTTCTTTACTATCAAGAAATGTATTCTCATTTTTATTATTAGTAATGTTGTTGCTATTTATTGCTTTAGACGAGGACCATGAAACAGTATACTGTACTGTTACTATAATTAAAACTCCTTCTATGGAAATTAGAAGCGAAGTAAGTAAGAATGTAGTATATTTTTGAATTTCATATATGACAGTTCTTAAATATTTACAGTTCATAAAGACTTTAGCCTTGTCAGTTTCTTTGCAGGATCACATCAGAAGTTTTGCCAAAGTAATAATTACTAACGGAAAAATTGGTAATGCTGTCAATGGTTGGACTACAGTATTTTAACAAGTTCCTTAAATGGATATTCTTTTGTGCTAGATTGTGAGAAGATTCAAAGAAAGTAATGATATAGCTAGAAACGAATTTGATCGAGTCATACTAGCAACTTGAGTAAAGGATTCTAAATATATATTCCACATACATTTTTTTCTACTAGTATTTGATGAAGGTTATGACGAATGTAAAGGTATTAAGCACAATATAAGCTATAGATAGAATCGTCATCACAGAAAAGTTGAACGTAAGATCTTCCTTCCGCGATATATTAATGGCAGTTGAGGTTGGTAATTTTTTTTTATGAATATAAACTGAATTAATAATATGTGTTTAATTGGTTTTTTTAATTATAGAATTTAAGTAACAAACCATATATATATACATGGGCTAAAATAAATCGTTTTGCTTAATGCCTTTGATGTTCTTGCAGAAGATTCGTATTTACAAGAACTTTTCTATTTTATCCCGTACTTTGACCGGAAATCATGGATTAAGACATGAAGAAACATTTCATATATGTTTTAGAGATTAAAAGTAAATGAATCGAAAATTTATAAAAATATTCGTTGATTTTACGAGGTTAGTAAAATTTTTTTAAAAAAAAACCATTGTTGTACAAATGGGTTGAATTAAAACATTTAATTTTTTTATTGAACATATATAATACGAAACTTTTTTTTAATGGAATGGAAATATTGAATCTTCTTCGCTAATTTTATTACACTACATTGTTAAAAAAATACTCCTTATTTAAGTAAGACCAAATGCATTAACAAGTTCTTTCAGGTCTTCGAGTCTATTTACTAACTCATCTAATAGAAGAACTATTCTACATAATTTGCCTTCTTCCTAAATTTTTAGGTGTTAATCTGTGAAAATGCCAAAAATCTTTTGACTTTTTTTCTGTTAAATATTTACTGAAAAATTTTATAGGTAAATTTAAACGACATTAAATTACTTTAGACCAGTCCGTCAAAGGACTGATTGACCGAATTTAATTGGTAAAGTTCTCAGTGTATTTAAATTAACAAATTTAACAATCATTTAATTAATAAATATGTTTTAAATTTATTATACTGTATGTATGTATATTGAAAATTTTTTTAATATCGTCTATAGATTTCCCCTGCATAACCCTTCAAGAAATTTCACGTGATATTCTTCTGTCTCCGGCATCACGTTTCATTCAGTAGCGAAAAATTAATTCTTCACGTCCTATCCGTCACATGTGTGCCACATTTAATTCCGACCGAATGGCGTAATGCCGACCATTTCGTGACATTTTTTGATGGGGAATTCTCCGCGCCACTAAATATATTTATTACAAAAACCACCACAGTAATTACGGTAATGTAGAGGAAACAACACCTATTAAAATTTGCCCTATCGTTTTCCACTCCACATGTTCATCTCGTAATTCGCGCATTGATCATTGGTCAATCATCACCTAAATCCGTCGGGGTATGGACGACCCGCAGTGGTGGTTCGGTTTCAATTTCCATAAAATGACGAATTCTTTAATTCCAGTCAGAATTAAAAAAATTTTGGCCAAAATCGAAACCGGATAAATCGAATTTTAAGTGATAATAAGCTTCCAGAAAATTAAACTAAAAAAGCTTAATAGTTTCCTCATATCAGAACTTTCAGTTGCAATAATAGATCCAAAAGGAGTTGATAATTTTGGAATCGAATCAAGCTACGATTTTGCGATTATAATTTTCGAATTATTATATTCGATAACCCGACCGACGCCATTATTCCTCTATGCGGTATATCGATTATGCATCATCATTTATTTCTTATAATTTAAATAGGAATTTAGTTTTAAGGAGCATATTTTGCTAATAAAGTTCAATATGTTGAACTTTTAAAATTTTACTCCAAAAAGATCACTCATTTTAACTAGTTTTTAAAATAAAATTTAAAAGCAACCAAAAAATTATTTTTATCTAATTAGAACAAAAAATTTTTTCCGATTCAAATTATCACCATCGGTTATTTTTATTAGTTACCAACTAGATTAGGTTGGTGTGCGGCGACTTTGTCGCCGCTAGTTATGGTTATTATACT